TTCTTTCAGTTGGTGATGTCGTGCTACACTTTGTCCATAAAGAGGGTCAGCGCCAGGCTAGGAGGAAGAAATAAGCATCCAAATTCAAGTTGTTGTTTGTGGTTCTCGAAGAAAACAACTGCTGATGTCAAATATAAATTTGTTGAGTTCACGACGAATGCAATTATTTATTACATGCCAATATATTGTGAAATTGTATGAATTTCATGACAGTGTCCATTCATCCATTTTTTTACGGCTTTTGGCAATAGACAGAATATCTGTCAGAAATGCACACCCAAAAAAACCCATGCAATATAAAATAGCGTGCATATTACGGTGTGGAAAAAGGGAGTTTGATTCCCTACAACTCAGCCAGAATTTTGGCTCCCAGCTGGTGCCCATGTGGCACACAATCAACCAATGACCAGTACAAAATCAGGTACTCCTTAAACTCCTCTTTTCATGTTTAAAGCACACCTCTGCTATGAATACATTTTTAACCTTCCACTCTCTGTGGGCAAAGCTGCCAAAAAATGTCTGGGACAAGATTGTTGACCTGCAAAGGCTAAAGGGGTTACAAAACTATCACCTAAGACTATTGGCACCATTTTTTTCAACAGTAGAAGACACAAAAAGGCCGTTATTTGTCCTTGGTGTGAAATACAGAATCTTGTGGCATGAGGATCATAGAAAGGTGTAAGGGCCTACCTCACTGGTGGAGACGTCGTGGTGACTGCCATGACTGGTTAGTCGCAGCGACTCAGGAGGCCAAAATATTGCCTGTGCTCTCAAAGGCATGACGTCCTGCGGAGACCAGTTCGCCCCGAACACACCGCAGCGTCTATCTCAGAGACCTACTAGAGACCTTGAAAAAGTCTTCAAAAGGTCTCTGGAAGAAAAGAACTGTGAATTTACTGCGACTCCCTTGGCGACACACCTAGTCTTCAAGAGATGTTGCTGAGGCAAGCTCTGCAATCAGCTAAGACTCTCGTCGCTATCAGGTCACCAACAAGTGACCTGAGATACTGTCGGCCCTTAAGGGAGTAGCCTGAAAGTATACTGCACAAACTTGTTAATGAGCTGAAGACATTTGAGACCGCAGTCACCATGAACACAGTAAAAGATTCAAATCTTGTAGTGCCCGTAAGGCCCCCCTGCTGAAGAGGGCACACGTACGGGCCCGCCTTGTTTGCCAGTGAAAATTCCATCGAAACGACTCAAGGAGGGCTTGGAAGAAAGAGGTGAGGTCAGATGAACTAAGTTGATCTATTTGACATCTATTCGACCCGTCATGCTTGAAAGATGAAAAAATGTCAATATGACCCAAAGAATCTACTGAACCATCACCGTAGTCAAGCATGAGGGTGGAAACATGGAGTAGTCAGGCTCCAGATGCAGTTGACCAGAGTCAAAAAGCTGAGAGCTGAATATTCAACTTTCTAAACTGCAGCCAAGCAACTTGAAGGACTTAGAGAGTTTCATCTGAGCATTAAATGCAATTAAATATGGATTTTTAAAATATTGGACTTGTTTGCATGTTTGAATAATATTTTGTCTATTATCAAAACCAATAATCAACCAGGTAAATTAAAGAATTTCATTAAAAAAAAACAAGCAAATTCATCAAAATAGAAATTAAAATAATTTCCTCCCCCCCACTGTATACAGAGAGAAAACCATGCCGCAAGATTGTACATCATCAAATTCGTTGAGGCAGAATGCTTCTTAAGACGACTCACAAAAAGTTGTGGCTATTTGGGAGTCGAGCAAAATTTCAGGAAGAACCTAAAATGAACTCTAACCTTGATGAATGTAATCAGACACTCTCAAAATTTTGGAATACACACTTCCGATTGTTCAACGCTTCAGTACTTAAAAGTGTTTTTTATTTGTTGTATGAGTGTAATCTATCAAGAAGTGACACAGGGCCAAATGCAGATAGTGATGTATTTTCTTTTTTTCACATTTTGAAAACGAGTCCAATGCCAGAAGAAACACAATATTACATAAGTCTGAATGATCCTAGTAACTTTGAGTCTCCTAATTAACAAAAATGATTTGAATTTTCTGGCGTGATGCAGTGCAATATCAGTGCATACCACGGGGGCAGAATTATTGACAGCAGTTTGTTGAGTGTCATAAATATCAATATCACATATTTAGTATGACAGGAAAAGTGAGGTTAATATTGCAGCGGGGAATTTGTGGTCAGCAATAGTCTCAAGAAATATTTTATGAATCGGATCGCTACATTCTTTAGTATGCATTAAATATCTTGAAAAGACAAGAACCATTGCAAGACTTTTATTTTTAAATTACTTTGGAGTAAATAAGAATAAATCGTGAGCAATAAAGTATGAGCTTCTCCCCCCATAGACGTCTTTAGCACTTAGCACTAGGACATTAACTTTTGAAAACTTTTTTTTTTTTAATCAAGATCTAATTGTGAAGAGAAGTCTGTCGGTGAAAAGTAGAATTTGAGAAAATGAAGGCGGTAGAAAACATGCAGGGGCTTGAATCCAAAGGTTGTACGCTAGGTGCTGCAGTGTAAGAAAAGGCTGTGAGAGAACAAGCAGGTGTGGTGGAAAGACCCATGTGCTTCAGGGAGAGAATAGATCAATAACTAATTTCAGTACCAAGCTTCACCCGCACCGTTTTCCAATAAATGCTGGATGGAGAGGACAGACTTAGCCCCCGCCCCACCCCACTATCTCGATCCTATCACCTTCTTCAAACTGGCCGTGGATGCTGTGGAAGGAGGCTTCTTCGTCATGTTTTAAAAGAGATACGCCACAGTTGATTGCGTGGATTACGCTTCCACGGCTCTGCACAATGTTAGCCAGCTTTGCTATTTCCATGTGTGCTCCACATATGTCATCTCTGTATCTTTAAAAGATCGAGCTTCCTGCGTTTCCCCCTCCCTTCCTCTCTTTCGGCCAGGGCCGGTGTTGAGGTTTTGTCAAGAGTATGCAGGGAGATTGAGGCAGACAGGAGAGTGAAGCGTGTGTCATGCAGGGCTGCTGCTGCTGCTGAGGCTCTTCTCCTCAGAGGCTGTGACCTAGATAACCAAGAGGAGCTGGAGCGCCTGCAAGCCTTGGAGCCACTCCAGCCTCAGCAATGTCAGGAAGGGGTTAGTTGTGTAACACAATGTCCTATTTAGTTTGCTTGTCACACATGGATGCAAGCACCATAGAGCGTATGGAGCCTATATGGTCAACCCTACTCTGATTCTCATATGTGGGCGTTGTCAAAGAGGAGACAAACGGGTTCTGGAAAAAGGAGGGGACATAGGCAAAGTTGAGGGAGGAGTTGACAATGTTCATGACGAGGTGGGAGATGGTGGGAAAGCAGTGCTTGACGAAGGAAGATGGGATGGGATCCAGTGTGCAGGTGGAGGAATTCATTGTTGAGATGATATTGGTGAGTTCGGCTATGGAGACAGGTGTGAATTCAGAGAGAGGTGAAGTAGTTGGAGTGATGCATGCTGGTAGGAAGGGAGGGGGGACAGGTGAGGTGGTGAGTGAACTGTAGAGGATGTCGATTTTGGATTGAAAGTAGGATAGGAATGAATTGCATTTGTCAACGGTGAAAGAGGTTGAAATATTGTCGCTGGGTTTGAGGAGTTTGGTGACGGTGGAGAAGAGAGCCTTTTGGTTGTTGGAGTCGGTGTGGATGAGGTTGGAGTAGTAGGTGGAACGGCTAGAGTTGAGTGCGGTCTTGTATAACTGAAGGTGATCGTGTAGGCGAGGAGATGAACAGTTAAACCGGATTTTTTGTAGAGTCTTTCTAGCTGGCGTTTTCGGGATTTGAGTTTGCGGAGTTCTGGGGTGTACCAGGGGGCTGAGCGAGTGAAGGAGACAGATTTGGTTTTGATGGGGGCAAGTTGATTGAGACAGGAGGAGAGAGTGCTGTTGTAGTAGTTGGTGAGAACAGTGGGGTCATAGGACAGTGGAGGAGGTAGTATGGACAGATGGTTGAGGACGGAGGTGGAAAAGTCAGTTGGGGAAACGAGACAGGAGGAGAGAGTTGATATGGTGCGCTTTTCCTTGGGAATGGGGGTAGGGAGGTGGAGGTCCAGAGTGATAGCCAGGTGAATGTAGAATGTACATCTTCATCAAGACATGACAACATTGTCTTTTTCTATTCTGACAAAGGCATTGACTCTCATTTTTCTTGGAAGTTAAGGGATTACGCTGAACAACTCAAAGAAGCCATAGCTGAGAGAGACATTCTTCTGGCTGAGAAGGAAAGTCGACGTCAGGGCACCGCTGAGGAAGTCCAAAAGCTGAATTGGACGGTGAGGTCTCTCACAGAGCAGCGAGCTCAGTTGCGGTACATGCTGGAGAGATCAAATGAGGAAAAAAAGCTGTTCGCAGTCAAGCTGGACGATGCGACAAAAACACATCAAGCAGAGGTTTGTTCCATTAATACTGTCAGATTTGTTTCCAAAAATGGACTAATCAAAGGCATTGACTCTCATTTTTCTTGGAAGATGAGGCATTTAGCTGAACAACTCCACGGAGTTGTAGGTGAGAGAGACATTCTACTGGATGAGCTGGAAAGTACATTTTGGATTTTGAATGAGAAGCTGGAGGAGTTGAATTCTCTCTTGGAGGAGCGAGCTGAGTCGCAGAATACGTTGGAAAAACTTGAATTGGAGAAAAAACAACTCAAAACGAAGCTGCAGGACAAGCCAAGCACGGTACAGTTTTGTAGTCGTGTTTCATTGTAATTCAAAGCCAGTTGCTTGCTCAAAATATCAACTCCTACAGACCATTTTTGAAGCGCCGCATTATTGTTGATCGTCAATCACAGGTCCCCACGATGCAAGAGAGTGTGGTTGAGCAGAATTTGTTCAGTTTGCCCCAGCAGGCCGAGGCGACAAAAGTGGAGACCAACCTTCTACAGGAGTTGGTCTCAGTCATAGGCTTTTTCAACTTTGTGCAGATCAGTTGTGTCAGATTACAAAGAATAGAGCATCTTGTAGAATGTACATCTTCAACAGTACCTATTTCCTTCATCCTCTCAATGCTTCCAGTCAGGGTAGTCTTAACGAGTCCTGTAAACGTTTCCCTCGGCCTCCAGGTACAGCGGCTGGAAGAGCAGCTCAACACAATGAAGGAAAATGAACCGGCGGTTCAAGCGGAGGCAACCGCATCACAGCAGGTTTGCTTCAACTCACTTTTTATTCTGTCATCGCGAGATACTTGACATACCGGGTAGTGTGAGGGACACACACGTTCCCCGCAAAAATAAATGCTTGTTTTTTTGCTACTGTACACAACATCGTCAAATGTGCTGCTCTTTTGTGTGTTGTTTAAATGGAAAAGGTTTGGCAAATGTTTTGAAACACTTGAAGGATGGATTGGCATTGACTTAAAGGGCTTCTAGCATGCTATTTTGTGCCCCGCCCCTTCATGATGTCATCCTAACGCCGGCTGCCGTGTGCACAAAACGGTAAATCGTAAGAATGTGTGTTTTTTTCGGCTTACGTGCTCGATCCAGAGTCAAGTGGCAGTCCGGTCTATATACATCAACGATGGACTATTCATTTATGCACGTGGTCACGCGTATAACAAGTCATAGCATTTTTCAATACCACACAGTGTAACCAATTCGCTTGCGGCGTTTGGTTGACTCACAGCTCTGGCCTCTACGGCGGGTTTGATTGTGGGAATTGCGCCGGTTTTAAGGCTTCATCTGCCGACCGGTCCGCTTTGGTACTGGCCGAGGTTCACCGGGCCTCTGAGAAATCATTGATCACAGACAAACCATTGCCGAATGGCCTGTCGCCGGTCAGGTGGGGACGTCACTCATCGCGCCTCTTTCCCAGCTCGTCTCGTCGGGCATCCCGCTGGCTGCTTGAAGAAAGCGAGTGTGTGTGCGTAGTCTGCACAGGCGGCGGTACGGGGTGGCTCCCTCAATCTTCCATGCGGCTGGTATTTAAGAACGGTTTGTCATGGGGCAATGCCCAGACATGGCAAGATGAATGGAAGAAAAAAACACCACTGTGGGGGTGTTTTTGGTGAGGAGTGAGGACCTTTTTACTTGGCTTAAAGCTCAAGTTGATTTGGTCTCAATAAGAGCTCTTTAAATTAAAGAGCTTGTAAATTTCCCCAGTGTGGGACAAATAAAGGATTATCTTATCTTATCTTATCTTATCTTATCTTATCTTATCTTATCTTTAAGTGTGGTCTATTTTGCACAATGCACAAATTGCTTGTGAAGGCTCTCAGTCGTACAGGAAGGTTCCATTGAAGAAAGGGTTCCGTCAGTCGTCATCTGTACCTGTGGGTACACAGGTACAGATGACGAAAACAATTCTGAAAGGGAGAAGTCAAAGAACAAAAAGTATCTCAATAAATAAACATAAAATAGAGATCTAAGCATATTACAAATGGGTGAGTGAGGGTGAGTCCAGCTTTGCAGGTCTGTCCATTCAATAGCCTGACAGCAGTCGGCAGCAGCGCGCGCGTATCAGTCTCTCGCCGAAGGATCTGCCCAGTGCTGTCAGGGTGGCCTGAAGGGGGTTGGGGGAGGGTCGCTCCATCATAGCTTTTAACTTGGCTAGCATTCTCCTGTTGCCCACCTCCACCAGAGTGTCCGGGGAGCAGGACAGGACAGAAGTGGCCCTCCTGACCAGTCAGTCCAGTCTCTCCCTGTCCCGGGCTGAGATGCTGCCTGACCAGCAGAATATGACATCACGAAGGTCTGAGGCCACCACAGAGTCACAGAAGGTCTTAAGGAGTGCCCCCTGAAATCCAAAAGACCTCAAATTTAAATTGAACAAGGAATCCGTATCAGAGAAAGGACCAGGTTCTTAAGGCTGATGCAGGATGAGCACGCCTGGCCGCCATTTGTTGTCAGTCGCATACTTTGTCTGCCGATCTCGATGTCTGCGCTTTGTGCAATCTTTCCTTGATTCTGATACATGACAGCAAGCATGTTGTGCGGTAGAAAAGTCCAGATTCAACACCAAAAAAAAAAACAAAGACGGCAACCGCAACGAAACAGCATGCGGCCTAATCTCGAGCAAAAAATGGAGCAAACATGCCCATGCGTATTGTGTGCTCTGTTTCTGCGTTGCTGCTGTGTGTGCAAGTACCAGTTGTTCGAAGCTTGACCATAAAGGTATCTGTACTAACTTGTAATTGGCTGGGAACCAGTTCGAGGTGTGCCCCCCGCGACAGCTGGGATAGGCTCGAGTACCCCCGCGACCCTCGTTGAGCAGATCAGACAATGGATGAATTGTTATCTACGCTCACTTCCATTTTGCTTAAATGGGACATGCTGCAATATATTATAGCAGTAAGATGGCAGACGTTTATTAAATTCATTGTTTTATAATCCGGCGTGGAATGCGGATGAGGGTGGAACGTAACCCCATGATAAATCGGGATTCGCTGGATGCTCGAAATCTTCCAAGCACAATATTTATAAGTAGCTACGTGATTGGACGTTTTTCAGCATGACCAGATATGCAGACAGGCAGGAAAGACTTTTTCTATTGATTTTTTGTTTTTTAAGTTGGCATGATTTTTATGAGCAAAATTGTAACATTTTATCTTCATCAGGTTTTGTCTCTCAAGAAGAAGCACCTTGAAGAGGCCCTGAAAAAAAATGCTTCTGGCGTCAGGATGGACGTTGATCGATTCATCAGAAGACTTGAGGAAAGTCAGGTCAGAACAGAAGAATTGATTAATGCCTGCAAAACACTGAGGAGCCAGCTGCAGGAGTATTATGATACTTTTCAAAATGTATAGGGGGGGGGGTGATTGTATTGTGTAGGATAGTATAGTATAGGATAGTATCGTGTCGTATAGTATAGTTTAGTGTCGAATAGTCTATTCTATTCTATTCGAATAGTTTGTATCCACACACACACACACACACACACACACACACACACACACACACACACACACACACACACACACACACACACACATATACGTATAATCCGTCATCCAGAGGAAGGGTTGGTTGTCTTTAAGGAGGCGGAACAAGGGCGCCCAATGCAAGAGAATCCCTTCACGAACCGTCTGTAGTACGAGGCCAGCCCCAAGAAGCTTTTCAACTGCTTCTGGTCCCTTGGTACTGGCCAATCTTTGATGGTGCGGACCTTCTCCTCCAGGGTGCTGATGCCCTCACCGTTCACTCGGTGGCCTAGGAACTCCACCTCACGCTGCATAAAGTGGCACTTTTCTGGGTGCAGTTTCAGCCCAGCCGCTGCAATTCTTCCCAGCACCAGTCTCAGAGACTCCATTGCAGCCTGAAAAGACCCACCATGGATGAGGACATCATCCAAATACACCAGGCACCTTTGCCTCGGAATGTTTGAGAGCACTGTGTCCATCAGACGCTCAAATGTTCCTGGTGCATTGCATAGTCCAAAACTCATGACCTTAAATTGCCAGTGTCCTCGGGTGGTGCAGAATGCCGTCTTGGGTCTGGACTCCGTGGTGATGGGGACTTGCCAGTAGCCACTGCGCAAGTCAAGTGATGAGAACCACGCGGAGCCTGAGACCAAATCCAATGTCTCGTCTCTCCGTGGGAGCGGGTAGCAGTCCTTTTTTGTCACCTTATTGAGCGGCCTGTAGTCCACACAGAACCGTGGTCTGGTGCTCTTTTTTCGGGGGACCATGACCACGCCAGATGCCCACGGACTATCGGAGGGCTCTATGATCCCTGCCTCGAGCATGGCACGGATCTCCTGATCAGCGGCCTCCTGCCGGGCCAGAGGCAGGCGTCGGGGCCGCACCTTTACTGGTCGCGCGTCACCTGTGTCGATGTGGTGCTCAACCAAGTGAGTGAGGCCCACCTCATTCTCGCTGAGGGCAAAGATGTTCTCAAAGTCCCACAGTACCTGCCACAGCTGCTCCCGCTGCTCGACATCCAAGCCGTCACAGTTCTTCTCCCAAATGGACCGGATAGCCCCAGTCCGGTTCTCTGCTGGCCGACCCGGGGTTAACCCCACTGACGTGGCTGGGCTCGATGTCATTGGCCCCGCCAGTGAGCAGTCCATCACGGGGCGAGCGGACTCTACCCGATCTACCGTCGACTGTCGGGGAGTCGGCGCTGCTGCTGCCTTGGACAGGCTGGGTCGGGTCATCCGCACATCCGTGTTCTCCGCTGCAGGGTCTGCGTTGTGGACGGCCACCCCCGGAGCACCCTGCATGCCGGACGCCGTGATCAGCCCTGCATGCTGACCACTCGGCAGGGTGAGCACCCCAGCTCCCAAGTCCACCACGCATTTTTGCAGCCTTTAAAAAGTCCCGTCCAAGAATACAGGGATCACTCACGTCAGCTACCCAAGCTGAGTGGGTTGTCGACAGACCCCCCCAGGACAAACAAAAATGTCCCTTTGCCTCTCATCTCGGCTGTTTCACCGGTCACGGTCCTCAGTTTTGTAAAGGTCGATGTTAAGACGGTCCCCACTGGAACAACGTCAGGCCTCACAATTGTGGCTGAAGACCCAGTGTCCACCAGGGCTGTACAGGAAACGTCCCCAATCTGCACGCGAACATTACAGTAAACGTCCCCAATCTGCACGCGAACATGACTGGGGTCCCCCACGCCCGTCCAGCCCACCATTATAACTTTCTCTCCGAATGCGGGTTGCAGTTCCCGGTTGACAAGTGTAGGGGTCCGCGTTGTCGGGGCTACACGGACCCTTTTCCGTTTCCCGGATAATTGAACAACTTTGGGCAGCGCCGCAGCAGATGACCTGGCTGTCCACAACCCCAGCAGACAGCGGGGCGCGCACGATGACCGCTTCTTTCCTCCTGCTGTGCTGGGCGGGTCTTTATTGCGCACACCAGCTCCTCCACCCACGCTGGCCTGGGTTCCTCCCTTTCCGACAACGAGGTGGCCAAAACGGGGCAGGCTGATGTCTGTAGCGCCCCCTTGGTTGCAATCTCCCACTCTGTAGCGAGAGAGAGTGCCTCTCTCTCCCAGGGCTGCCGGATGGGCAAGCTGGACGTGCAGGCGCAGCTCATCCGGTCTGAGAGCTTGGATGAACTGATCGCGTATCAGTTCATTTTGGATCTCATTTGGCATTCCAGCATATGCGCGCCGACCCAGGCTCTCGATCTCATGAGCAAGACAACGGAGCGGCTCACCGGGATGTCGGTCACGCTGCTTGAACTCACAGCGCAAAGAGTCTCTCAAATTAAACTCGCCAAAGCGCCTCTGCAAAGCACCCACCAGGGCGCTGTCATCGAGTCGCTCTCCGGGGCTCAGCAGCAGCAGACAGGATGTAGCCTCCTCCGTCAGGGAAAGCGCCAACTGCACGGCTTTCACTTTGTCCGACCAATCCGCTGCGTCAGCCACCAACTCGAACTGTGCTCTATAAGCCTCCCAACTCCCTTTCCCGGAGAATTTAAGAGCTTTCATGGAGGGCCACGCGAGCCCACGGGCTCCGCCATGCATGTTTACCTCCGTTCCGATGGCGTAACCCCGTTTTGGCGGGCTCGCGCTCATTTTGGCGCGAATCACCAGCTTCATGACGACCGAGCCCGTTGCAACTCGACTCAGGCATATCAATCACGCACGGTACGGCCTCATCCTTTCCCGTCCGCCGGGTAATGGGATCGCCGCACGGAACAGCCTCTTCCTTCACCTTCCGCCGAGTACCGTAGTCGCCGAACATCCTTACTCAAAAAACGGACGTGCGACGGGTGAATCCAAAACTTCTGACACCAATGTAATGCCCTTCAGTAGCGGAGAGAAGGATGCTCGCAGTCGCTGGTACGATTCGTCATTTTTAAATCAACAAAATAAGTCATAAACACACGCATTCAAAGGAGTTGCTGTTTGCCACAACTCACGCCCATGCGCTCCTCACTCAGACTAACTACCGGAGCCAATATTCCCTCCACCTGGCTCCTCCCCTCTCTCTGACGTCACACAAATACAAGAAACAGATATGACAGTACTTTCCAATCTTTACAACTCGAACTGAATGTAGGGATGCAACTCAAGATGACGTTATCGATCAACTCAGCAATCGACTACTTATGCGGTGAAGTGTACTCAAAACAAAACACACCCTTTATTTAAAAACGGCCGTTACGCATACCATTACAGAGAAGCAAATACAGTATGTTGAACAACGACAAAAAAAAAAACAAAAAACAAACGAAAGGCAGCAAAAGCTGGCACGTGAACAAAGGATTTCCCCCGAAAATTAACTAATACAAGAACGAACAACTAGCTACTAACTGAGGAAGCGCGAATTCCCGAACAAGACACTTGTTGGGGGCCGAGAACAAGCGAGCAACCGCCGTCGGATTCAGAGCGCCGAGGCGGCGACTCCTGTCGCTCCCCGGAGGATCTTTAAACTTGGCGCCGTTAGTTGTTGGCCAATCAGGAAGGGCCCCTCCTCGGTCTCCGCAGAGCTGCTATTCATGGCGAGAACACTCACTCCCACATACAACACGAGAATCAACAGAACGACGGCCGCCACGGGACACGCACGATGCGGCCAGGACGTAACACGGCACATGATCTGAAATTGACGGTGCGGGGGAAAAAAAAAAAAAGACAATGAATTGATGTGGATGTGGTGACCGAGTTTGGTCCGTAACATGTCAGAAAAACGGCAAAGGTGTGCATAAGTGTATGCAGAAATGTGGTTCAGATTGCACGACTGTCTTGTGTCCTATGTGTTGTGTTATTTTTGTTCTTTTGACTTCAAAATGGTGCCGCGTGAGTGGCTGCCTCAACCTGACATCCGCGTCTTCATTTGTGTGCTTATTATTTCATTCAAGATGAAGAATAAAGCCTTATAAAAAAAAAACAGTTCTACTTCTTCCTTTCATAACTTTGCTGCCGTGAAATGGGAATTTCTCCATTGCGAGACTAAGCGAGCTTTCCTTATCTTATCTTATCTTATAAAGAATGTCTCGTTTTGATCAGCAGTCTGCGTTCATATTGACTGCTGACAGAATTGGCCTTTGGCAGACAACCGTGACACCATACAAAGGCGAAGGAAGAACACAATTTGGAAGAAGCGAGCATGCAGACGTCCCCCGTCCCCCCCCCCCACCCCCGCCCAACTGACTGCTCTCATTTGAATAGCCTTGACTGCTGTGACTGCCGGCAAACCAGATGAGGGCCAGTTGTGGAGTGAAGTATGTGGGCCAGGTATCAATTTCCAACTCCGGCCCGGATATGGCCAGCTAGTATTGAGCCACCTTTAAATGCAGTTTCAGATTTTTTTTTTCTACATTTTTTTTTGTTGTTGTTGTTGTTTTACAATTGCACATTGATGCGAAATTCCATTCATCTCACACACGCACACACATTTGCACACCCACGTCCTACTTCTTGTGCACGCTCCCCAGTCAGCAAAATTGGTCTGGCCCAGCTCTGGGGCAGACACGGCATTACACTCGGCCCACATACCGCAATGAATGACGGTCCTGCATTGCCGCTGTGAATTGGAAATTTCTCCATTGTGAGACGAATAAAGTTTTCTTCTCCAATCTTATTCGCCACATAACTCAATATGCCCCAGATTGTGACTCCAATACTACTGCCGTATTTTACGCACTGAAGGCGCACTGGATTATGAGACGCACCTTCAATGAATGGGCGATTTCAAAAAAATAAAATAAACGCAATCTACAATGCAACCGACGCTCCTTCCGTTCGACTCGAGAGGCGTTCACCATCGCCTCGGAAAAGACGTCAATTAACGAGGACTTCAATGAAACGGCGAAAATTGAATGCATCAATACAAACAAAATCAAGCAAGGAAAAAAAATAATAATTCTATAGCCCCCCCCCCCCTCCGATTATGAGAGGCACCTTCAGTAAATGGGCTGTTTTTAAAAAAAAAATGTCATCGATTGGACGCACTAGATTGTAAAATGCAATCTACAACTACTTCCGGGTGAGAGGACGCTGGCGTGTATGTCGCCGCTTCTCACTCCAAACTTTTCCAAACTTTTTCAAAGCCCAGATATTCCTGTTGATTTTTCTCTTGCCTTCCTGTTTTGGACTGTGGGCACTGTAATTGATGTTACCCGAATCATCGCTTCACCCGACCATTCAAACCCCAATCTCAATTTAGTCCACGGGCTAACGCCGGTAGCTTAAATTTACCAGCTGTCACCGCACCGGCCCTTCCCCCTCGTCATGGGGCGCCAAAACTTCGCCGCCTTTGGATTATTCCTGATACTCCTGACGTTCTGCCATCATCCAGTGACAGGACCGCTCCACTATTCTGTTGCGGATCTTCTCCGGATCCGGTGGATTGCACCGGAGCCTCCGCCACCGGAGCTGCACCATCATCCTGACATCGCTCGCCTGCCTCGTCGTCGCTACATCCACCGCGGGTCGCGCAGACATGTCGAGTATAAAAACCCTGGATCAATCATCTCGACGTCCTTCCAGAAACGACCATGCATTAGCCCGCCCGGCTAGGTCGGCTAACAGCACTGCCGGCGCCAAACATGGCGCCTCCGCCGTCAACTTTGGACCGCTGAACATCCGTTCACTCACGAACAAGGGACACCTCATCCAAGACGTCCTCGCCGAACGCAAACTTGACTTCCTCGTTTTGACAGAAACCTGGCAACAAACAAACGACTTTGCTGCTCTGAATGACTCCACTCCTCCCGGCTTTGTTTACATCTGCCGTCCCCGTGGCAACGGCCGTGGAGGAGGTCTTGCAGTAATCTACCGCGAGAAGTGGAGAGTCTTGCCTGTCTCCGTCCCTGCATCAAGCTCTTTTGAATGCCTGGTGTTTAAACTCCCTGGACCCACGCCAACCATCATTTTGCTACAGTTTATCGACCCCCGAAGCCACATAGTGATTTTATCAATGCATTTTCCAGCTTACTCACACACTTGTCCACTCTTTCGCCAAATGTAATTTTGCTGGGAGATTTCAATATCCATATGGACAACCCCGACCTGCCACTCACCAGAGACTTCACATCCTGCCCGGAGAGCCTGGGGATACGCTGTCTTATCGACTTCCCCACCCACATTAAAGGCCACACGCTGGACTTGGTTTGTTGCTCTGGCCTCTCCCCCTCCAAGACCACTGCCGATGTTTTTCCTGAAACCGATCATTCCCTCCTCACTTTTAACACCGTACTCTGTCGCTCTACAATCAAAACCTCCCGCCTCATTTCTTTTCGTAATATCAAACATATCAACATCGACACTTTTTGCTCCATAATCGACCGTTCCCCGCCCCCCAGACGCTCTTTCCAACCCGGATGACCTCACCGCTCACTACAATGCCTGCCTCACAAATATTCTAAATTCTCTTGCCCCCCCTGAAGACCAGGACTGCCTCATTCTCAACATCTCTTGCCCCCCTGAAGACCAGGACTGCCTCATTCTCAACATCTGCCCCCTGGTTTACACCCGCTCTTAGGTCAATGAAATCAAAAAACCGCCAACTTGAGCGACTCTATAAGAAAACCGGTCTCGCCATCCACAAGGACATGTACACTTCCCATATCACCAAGTACAAGGACCAAATTACACAAGCCAAATCCAGCTACTACTCCGGCCTCATCCTCTCCAATGAAGGAAATTCAAGAACTCTCTTCTCCGTCATGAACAAAATCCTCCAGCCACCAAATTCTCTCCCTCTTCACCTGTACTCCACAGCAACCTGCAACTCCATAATGGAGTACTTTAATCACAAAATCCTTCCCCAAAATCGTTAAGATTCATCACCACCTCCATCAAAACCTGCCTGCTCCCTCCCCATCTGAACCTCCTTCTCCTTGTCATTTCTTCTCCAGTTTTGTTCCACCCACGACTGCTGAACTATCCAACCTCATACTCAGATCCAAGCCCACCACTTGCCAGCTCGATCCCCTCCCTTCGTCCCTTGTTAAATCCCGCCTCCCTTCCCTGCTTCCTCTCCTATGTGCCATTGTCCACTCCTCACTCTCTTCTGGTATTGTCCCATCACTTTTCAAAACCGCTGCTGTTACCCCCATACTGAAAAAACATGGCTCTGACCCCAACAACTTTGATAACCTCCGCCCCATCTCCAACCTTCCATTTATCTCGAAAATCCTGGAAAAAACTGTTGCTGCTCAACTCCATTCCCACCTGTCCCTCCACTCTCTCTATGAACCCTTTCAGTCTGGCTTCCGCCCCCGCCATAGCACAGAGACTGCACTAATCCGTATTGTAAATGATCTTCTCATAGCATCTGATTTCGGTTTAGTCTCCATCCTCATCCTCTTAGACTTGAGCGCCGCCTTTGACACAATCTCTCACCCTATCCTCCTCAATAGACTCTCCTCCATTGGTCTCTCCCACACTCCCCTCAGTTGGTTCCACTCTTACCTCACCGGCCGCACTCAGTTTGTTCAGCTCAAATCCTTTACCTCAAAGCCCTCCCCAGTCACCACAGGTGTACCACAGGGATCTGTCCTAGGTCCCCTTCTCTTCATCATCTACCTCCTGCCCCTTGGTCATATCCTCCGTAAATTCAACATCCACTTTCACTGCTTTGCTGATGACACCCAGCTCTACCTCTCCTGCAAACCAAACTCCATACTCCCACCCCCCTCCCTCACCTCTTGCCTCTCTGAACTCAAAACATGGTTCACAACAAACTTTCTAAAATTAAATGCTAATAAAACTGAAATCCTCCTTCTTGGCACCAAATCCACTTTATCTAAAGTAAACAGTTTCTCCCTCAACATCGACAGCTCCTTAGTGTCCCCCTCCCCCCAGGTCAAGAGTCTGGGTGTCATCCTGGATAGCATGCTCACCTTCCACTCACATATCAACACCATCACCCGCACTGCTTATTTCCACCTCCGCAACATTACCAGACTTCGCCCTTCCCTCACCCCCCGTACCACTGCCATTCTGGTCCACAGTCTTGTCACATCCCGCCTTGATTACTGTAACGCTCTCCTCTTCGGCCTACCTCAAAAGTCCCTCCATAAAATCCAGCTGGTTCAAAACGCCTCCGCTCGCATCATCACAAAAACATCCTCCC